ATGGTGTGCAACATGAAATCTGGCTGGAAAATTACGTTTATGGTAACAAAGTTGTCAGAGTCAAGGTATCAATCCTTTATCAATTACAGGTCTTTACTTACTGCCGCAACAGATAGAGATAGCGGCATTGTACATCTTGTATTGGAGAAGGTTGTCAGAGATACTTTCAACACTACTGAAACCGAGAACACAATATTCACAAACTGTGTGAATTGCATTCTTGCATTCATAAACAACAAGTTTACTAATGATATCAGCCTCAAAGCTCTCGCATTTCTGCATTTTTGCGCCTTAAAGCTTTGTGAAGGAGAGGTTCGCTCTGTTTGTTTGGTTGGCCAGAAAGTGTATGAGAAAAGTAGTTTTTATTTGGTGACCAAAGATGCATCCCACACTGAAATTCCAATGGAGCTTCCATGCTGATATTTAGATTGAGTTATGAAAGTGCATACGTATCCTTAAGTCAGAGCTGCAGACAGAAATGTGAGGCAGATCAGTAGACTGGCTTACATCCTTCTCACTCTGTTCTTCAAATTTTTTCTAAAATTATCATTTGAGAGGATATTTTTGTGCCACTCACTCATTCCAGAGGTAATAGTAAAGTAAATGGTTTTGAGTAAAAGGACCTTCTAATTTTTCTCTTTAATCAACTATTTAAATATAAATTGAAATATAACTATGTGTCCTTCAAATTGTTTCTAAAATATTAGAGATTTTTTTGAATCAATAGAGGTTTAACAACATCTCAGTGACCAAACATGGGTTTAAAGCTTTTGAGACAAGCTTAGTTGTGTTGCAACCAATGAGAATAGGAAATATAAAAGCTAATCACTCTTATGAGAGCACATGAAATATTATGTTTATTAGAAGAATATTATTCCAGAGGTAATAGTAAAGTAAAGGGTTTTGAGTAAAATCTAAATTTTCCCTTTAATAAGCTATTTAAGTATAAATTTAAGTTGAATTATATATATTTATAAAGTTATTGAAAAAACATTGAATCAATCAAATACTATATTTGTGCTGTAAATGCCATTTCCTTAAACCATTTAACACTTTTAGGGTGTTAACAGAGTTTAGATTTTGTGGCTGGGTACAAAGAGTTAAACTCTATAGTAAAGTTTTATATACATCTTGAGCAAGGTAAGGATCAAAGGTGTAACAGTACCATTTTAATGGTGCTAGAGTTCAATATGAATATGGCCTCTTGCTCAATGATAACACCATAGACTATAAGAGTTCTCTTGCAAATTTTTGATTAAATGCTCTGCTCTAGGACAAAAAAGAAAGAGGATGTAACTAATATTAACTATATTAGGTTAAAACTAGCATAAATAACTAAAGAAAAGCTTATTAATTTTCACAACTACATGAGTGTTTTTTGTGGTTGTACAGATTTGAAAGTTAAATATTTATCATGCTTTTTCCTTTTCATTTCTAAAAGAATTTGAGTGAGTTTTAACTCTATATACTCCCTAACATCACAATTGAATTCACTGTTTATACTAGCTTTGTGAAGAGGAATTTGTCTTGTTTTAAGCTTTATATGATTTTTATAGTGGATCATTTTGACAGTAGAATTTATTTATAATTAATTCTTAATTTTTTTCTTTTTTGGTCAATTTCTATAGAAGATTTCATATTAAGTGGCTGTGTGTAAGCACCTTAGGTCCTTAGCTAGAAAAATGTGCGCTTGCATGTTCCTCAATAGTAATGATACTAAGTACATAAAGAAGATTATTCTTTGAACTTATAATACATAATTAAGTATGATCAAAGAGGTCTCTTCTTTCTGAGAGTCTAATGTGGAGTTGTTTATTGACATTTCTACAGTTCATTTTAATTCAAAATAATTTCAAAGAACTTAAGATATTAGCGATTATAACAAAGATATAAGAAATATAATCAGTCAAAATAGATATGTTTTTAATCAAACTGTGAATAATTAGGAGTACTTCAAAATAGAAAAAAATTATATTTATATTTTTGTATTTCACATCTCCTCTAATCAAAATATTTAATCAATGTATTAAATAAGTTGACCATTCTGTTTGCTGTAATGTAACCATAAAGGAATAACTACAATTTTAAATGCTACTTTTCCTAGAGGGGTACATGTATTTTCATATTCTAGAAATTGTTAAAAGATGTTATTTCTCCTAGTGGAGCTGGGCACTCTGTTAGTACTCCCTTGTTTAAAAGTGCTATTAGCATATGGCATCTAGTGTATTTTATTTCATTTTAAGAATATCTAATTTTACTTATGGTGGATGCTCTTAATCAGAAGGACTAGATTTGTGACTCTCCAAAAGGAGGGTTACAATTATTACATGTGGCAAAGAGGTAGTGACAATTGAAATCACCTTTTGGGTTATAATTTTTTAGGGTAGACTGTGGCGGCAGATTGTGAAAGTTCTTTTATTCTTGAGGAAAAAAGTAGCATTCTTGCTTCATTCACGATCTATGGCTATGCATTTGTTCTGACTGTGTGATTTCACAGGTTGAAGATGATTGTGCACATGACCTTCCAGAGACATGGCATCTAAAAAGTTGTATGAGATCCAACTCACCTTCTATGCAGGAACAAGGTAAAAACTAAGAAAAACTCAATCAGTTTTTGTTCCTCATTCTTCCATGCAGGCAATCGATCTTCAACACTAGATGGTGGAAACTCTTAATTTGTTTCCAACCAAAGACTTGTAATTTCTTCAAATTTACAACACTACTTTACAATAAACTCGATGATATCTGCTTACTTTGCATGGAAGAATGAGTGGATCTATGAGCGACCAAATGTATAGTGCTGTTGTGAACCACATTGTGCCGATCCGGACCCATTCTGAATGCCAGCCAACATCGATAGCATCTGTCTTCAGGGTTTCCCCATCTGGTGAGCAACATAGCCGAGTACATTCTCGCAAGGGCAAAGACAAGATAACAGAACAAGTAAACATACATGACAGTGTTGGGACTGTTTCTTTGCTTCGTGGAAGTCGTGCTCAGATCCAGTGCCACTTAGTTTGTGGTTGGTTTTGAAATTTCTCCTCGAGAGTAAGAGTTTTTCTACTCAATTCTTCTTCTAGAAGCTCCTTTGCATTGTGAGGAGGAGCTGGCGGTGACAGGAAAGTCGTTGAGAGCCTGCTCAAGCCGTGGAGTATATCACGGAGATAAGCAGGGTGGCCATTCCCATGACGAGTGTGTTTATAAAAACCACCTCGGCATGCTTGGGCACTCCAACGCAATCGTAGTCTTGACAATGCACTGTAGCATATATACATGCAGTAGAGCGCTATCACCGAAGCAGGCACTATCACCGCCCATTCACCTGGAACAAAAAAGAACAAAAAAACCATCCTTCACACTCAAAAGAAAAAACTCCAGCTTAAAAGTTACCTGAGGATGCACAGAGATAGCAGTGAAAGCGATGCCGAGAGATAGCGAGCTCGTGATAAAGAAGAGATTGAGCTTGCAATCTTGATAAGCAGGATTGAACCACTTATACAGATGTCCTGCATGATGTAGCACACTAAGGACACAGCAAGCAAGGGATTATACCTGTGAACTGTGAATCTTGTTATATGTATAAGAGGAAAAGAAATGAGGAAGAACATCACTAGAACTGACTCTCTTTGGCAATCCATGCAGTGTTCCAGTTTTATGTCGAGAGTCTTCCTGCCAGAAGAACAAAGAAACTATGGTTGTAATTCCAAGAAAGAAGCACTAGATTTACTGTCAGCATCCACAATGTCGTTGGGAAGAAGGATGAGGCCAAGCACAGTGAGACCAGACCAGATGATAAGGTTGATCATTGATGCCATGAGTCCCTGTGATTGCTTTGGTACTTAACTCCAAACATAAGCAGTGCTAATTCAATGAAGAAGAAGAATCTCCCAAAGCTCACGCGTAGAACAGCTTGTGTGCCAAGCCAATCATTGATCCCGGCCACAAGCAAAACAAAAAGTTGCTGTCGTAAAGTGCAAGAACTTACACAGGATTTTCTCCAGGATTGGCCACATGAGGCAGTGCTTCAAAACATGCCGTGCACCACGGCGTGTTGGCGTGGTGACACGAACACGGCCCCCAGCCGTGTTAACACGGGCTGTGTTCATTGCCTCGGTCAATGCTCCAAAACACGGCTCCAAACACGGTTGAAACACGGTCAAATACCGTGTGACCATGCCATGTTCTAAAACAATAGCTCACGTGGTTCACATGAGCGTTTTGCGCTTTGATGTTTTCTTGTTTTGCGATCAATAAAAAATTCCTGCGATCAATCAAAAGGTTTTTCCAGCGATCTATGGCGATTTTCTTGGGCTGGGAATGCCCTCTCTAGGATTCTAGCGCTGGAGTGGGAGGAATGGCACTCAGCCAAGCCTGATTTTGCTGCAAAAAATTCCTGATCATTGTCTCCAGGTTTGTAGATTTTCTCTCCCAAATTTTCTCCTTGGATTGCTTCTGCCATAATTCTTAGCTGCTTGGCACTGCATCTTTGTAGATTGCTGTGATTCTTAGTTGCTTGGCATTGCGATTGTGTTATTGACGGCGTGATTCTAAAATTTTGAGTTTTTCAAAAAAAATTTAGGCGCAGGGCGTGACCGATTGTGGATTGGAACAGGAGCAGGGTGTGGGATTTTAGAGGCTGAGCAATTGTGGATTGGAGCAGCAGCAGGGTGTGGGATTTTAGAGGTTGGACTGAGTGATTGTGGATTGGAGTAGAGGCAGGTGCAGGATTTTAGAGGTTGAGCTGAGTGATGGCATCTGGGAGCCAGAGCAGGAGGACTTCAACAGGGTGACATCCATCATCCATTTGGTGGGAAGAAGTGATCCTTGGTGATCAAACAAACTGCCGTAGTGGGCATCGACGCTGGTCTTGCAAATGGTGTTCGTTGAGAGACAAAGTTTCAGGTGTGGATCGTGTGAGGGGACATCTCACAGGGGAAGCTGGTCATGAAATCTTAAGTTGTGATGTCATCTCAGTAGAGAAGAGACAACAGCTTAGGGAGATGGCTAAAACCATCGACGACCAAGTTTTGGCTGGAAAACACCAAAGCAAGAAACGAGCAGTTTCTACACGTGTCGAAGGCATCCAAAGCACTGGAGGAGAGAGTTTTGTTGCTTCCCAGAGTTCTACACCAGGTGGCAATTCTGTAGAAGGAATTTCCAGGTTTTTTTTCGCAACGACAGCAGGGAATCCGGGATTCTTTGATCCAAAAAGGAAGGAAGCAGTGGATATGGCTATAGGACGATTTTTCTAGAACGAGCACATACCATTTGCAAAAGCTCGTTCTCACCATTTCAAGGAGATGGTGCAGCAGATTGCAAGGCATGGAACGATCTTCCAACAGAGACAGCATTGCGAGAGCAATTGTTGCAAGTGGAGAAAGCCAATCTTGAAGTTCAACTTGCCAAGGTGAAGGCACGTTGGAAGAATTGTGGGGTTACTCTTGTTGCTGATGCATGGAATGACACAAGAAATCGACATATCATGGGGCTTGTTGCATACAGCAGAGGACAGTCGACTTTTCTCGAGGCCATTGATATATCTTCTAGTGGGAAGACAGCTGATAACGTTTTTGCGACATGGGAGCAAGGTATCGAGATTGTTGGAGAGGAGAATGTTGTTCTTATTGTCACGGATGGTGAGGCTTCAAACAAGGCTGCTGCTAGGCTTCTAGAGGCGAGGAAGCCAAGGATTATATGGGCTCCATGCTTAGCTCATTGTTTGAACAACATTCTCAAGGATTTCGCAAAACTACCATGGATGGTTGGGCTGCTAGACAAGGGAAAGACTCTGGGTGGCTTCCTCCGGAACCATTCGCATCTAGTAGCGATTTTGGCATCCTTCTCTTCACGACGAGTGTTGAAGTTCAGTGAAACACGATTCGCCTTCAACTTTCTTATGATGGAGAGATTGGTGGAGCTGAGACCAAAGCTACAACAAATGTTTCTGAGTGACGCTTACAATGCAAGGCTAGAGTCAAGAACAGATTCTGGGATAGCATGCCGAGGAATTGTGTTCAAAGATACATATTGGAACGAGGTTAACCACATGCTGGGTGTTTCAAGGAGGGTGATGTATTTGCTATGGATGGTTGACGGAGACGTGCCTGGTCTACGAGGTCTACGAGGGGATGGATCAGATGAGCGAGAACATCTGTCAACAAGAGGAGAACAATCTAAGGTATGAGGAGCTAAACCAACTGATTTCAAACAGGTGGTGGGCTTATCATAGCACCTTTCACTCTGTGGCATACACGCTTGATCCAAAGTTTCAGGGGCAAGGACAGGAAAAATCCAGGGAAGTTTCCAAAGATTGGAACATGTACTTGGAGATCCAGTTCCCTGACTATCAGCAAAGGTCAACTATAAAAAATCAGCTTTGCCAATACAGGAACTTGGAGGGTAGTTTTGGCACCGGGGACTCTCAGATGGATCGTACAACAAAGGGTTCTGTGCAGTGGTGGGAGGACAATGGCTACTCAGGTCCAGATTTGCAGAGGTTGGCAATTTGAGTGCTTAGTCAAGCAAGTTCTTCCTCATCTGTGGAGTGATTGTTCAGCATTTTTGGGCACATCACTTCAAAGAAGAGGAATTGCTTAGCAGTGAGCCGGATTGCAGACTTGGTATTTGTGGCCAGTAATACCAAGTTGATAGGGAGCCACACTTCCTATGACAAGTTTGTGGGATTGAGCCAGACAGGAAGTATTCCTCAAATTACTGATGCTGATATTGAAGCTATGGAAGAAGAGGACGAAGATGAAGATGATGATGCTGCTAATGAGGAGCTTCTAGATGAGATGGAGTGATAAGTAGAATATTCTAGAGAATATTCGTGCTTTCACCCGTGTTTATCCGTGTTCATTTCCGTGTTCCGTGTTCGTGTTCAAAAAATTGAATGCCGTGTTCGTGTTCGTGTTCGTGTTTTGAAGCTATGACGTGAGGTCACGCAGCATCCATGCGAGCAGCAAGGAGAGCAGCTGCTATACATGATTCTTGCCAATCAGAGATGCTGCTCGCTAATCCCTTACAAGCCTGGCAAGCGAAGCCGTGCAGCCGGATGCTAGACAAGATGTCATCGGCGTTTGCTAGATCAAGAAGCAAAACCCTAGAATTTGATTACATTGTCCCTTCGCTTTAGTTCTTATCAGTGTCTCCTCGCTTCTGGTGCTCAAGGAATGTGGAAGTGTGTGCATCTCCAGGGAGGAAGGATCATCCATGACAATGTAATTTAATCCAATGCCAGGTCTTCGATGCCATGGCCAGTCGGAGCTCCAGCACCGCTCCAGTTCTCTGGATTGATCGACTACTACCCTCGTGGTGCTTACGGCCCGCTGGAATCTGGCTGCCAAGGGATAGGATTGCAAGAGCTTGAGAAAGAGCTGCTTAGAGAACGGGTAGAAATCCATTGCCTGGGTGCAAAGAATGGATTCGAAGAAGATATCTTCATGGCAAGTAGCTTGGTGGATATGTATCTCAAGTGTGGGAGCTTGGTGAATGCTCTTTGGGTCTTTTGCAAGATTCAATGCAACAATGTGGTCTCATGGACTGTCATGGTTTTTGGCTACGTGCAAAACGGGGAGTTCGCAATTGGATTGGAGCGAGTGAAAAAAGAAGGCCGCGAGAGAAAAGGTTGCAAGGTGTCATGAAGAAAAGATCGTTGGAGAAAGGAAGAGTGATCCACGCTCAGGCAGCCAGCCATGGATGCGACCAAGTTATATTCGTGTTGAGCAGCTTGGTGGAGATGTATCTCAAGTGCAGAGTGTGGTAGATGCTCGTCAGAGTCTTTGACGGGATTCCATGTAACAATGTGGTGTCTACGGCAAGGTCGGGAAACCAATAGTAGATTTGGAACTCTTTGTGTTGATGCAGCAAAAATGTTGTCCAAGTACTTTTGGAAACTATTGCTCCCAAACTGGCATGAAGTTGGCAGTTAGGAGGGGACTAAGCTCATACGATATTTGAACATTGTATATTTTGTGCCTCATATAATTTATAGGTTCCAAGATCATTGTTTTCCAGGTGTTAACAGCTCTTCCAATATGCTACGTCCTATATGCAGTGACACCAAGTGCAAAGAGATCTTGGATAGATTCCAAGCATAGTAAAGTGTCAGATCTAAGTTTATATTTAAACCTGTATTTTTCTCCATAAAGTATGTTTATAAATATATTCTCATTTATATAATTTCTTATTGTGAGGGCCAAGTGTACGGCTACGATGCCGTATACTAATATTAGCATAGTGGATTTTGGTAGCCGTCGGATTGGTTTCAATCCGGACCACTCGCTCCTGTATATAAGCTAGGGTTTTTGGGTTAATTGATATGCACATTTCTGTATTCCCTTTCCATATTCCATGCACTCACATTGGTGGAGATGAGGGGCACCTTTGATTGTCCCTGGGGAGTGCTTGGATTTGGGATTTCGGTTTAGATCTAGCTTTTGCATTGTCTAGATCTAGCTTTTTCCATTTCTTTTCTTTTGTTCTTTCCTTTCAAGATTTTGGTTTAGATCTAGCTTTTTTGCATTGTCTAGATCTACCATTTCTTTTCAGCTTTTTGTCATTTCTCTTCTTTTGCTCTTTCTTTCTCATTCATTTTCATGGCCGATCCGCAATCTCCTCCTTTGACTCTAGAGCAGTAGTTGGTTCAATTGCTTGATGCTATGCGCTTGCAATTGAACAACCAAACTCAGTTGATGGCGGCGTTCACGGCACATGGTACAACTCCTTCTGCTTTTGGTGCCAATCCTCGCGTTTGGCCGGAGTTCTTTCGTGGGAATCCTGGGGATGATGTGTACCATTGGTTCGATCACTTCACGGTGATTGCCACATATCATTCTTGGGATGATGCTCGACGTTTGTGTGAGTTCCCCACATGTCTTCAAGGGACGGCATTGCAGTGGTACAATGGATTGAGCGCAGCTACTCGTGGCGATTGGAGTGTTCTTCCGGACGTCTTCAAACGCGCCTTCGGACACGCCGACGATTGTGATGATGCCTTCCAACAATTGCATCGTCTTCGCCAAGGGCCATCTGAGTCGGTGATGCAATTTGGCGTTCGTTTCCGAAGTCTTTTGCTTCGTGCAGAGCCAAATCAGTCGGAGCGGATCAAGCTAGGAATGTTGTGGCCAGCACTTCGTCAGGATCTTGTCGGACTTGTGCATGCACTTGCTCCTGCCACTCTTGACGATGCTCTTCGTTTGGCACAACGTTATGAGACGTCGCCTCTTCCACTTCTTGCTACACGTCCTTCAGCTCCACTTCCTATGAGTGATGGTCCTGTTCCCATGGAGGTTGATGCTGCTGCTACTCGAGTCCAAGGACAAGGGCGAGGACGTGGTCGTGGCCGTGACATTCGTTGCTGGGCGTGTGATGAAGTTGGTCATACTTATTGGCGTTGTCGGCGCTTTCCGGATTGGCGACCTCCATTTCCTGGGTGGAGACCTTGGCGTCAGCAACGTCCCGTTGGTGCTGCTGCGGTGGAAGGTTTGGATACCGAGGTGCATTCGGGAAACGAGGAGTCGCGCGAGTAATGGAGGGACCTTGCGCGAATAAGTTAGTGACCCCTCCATCTTTCTTTCGGGAGTATCATCAAGGGGTTCACTCGGCACCGGTTCATCCAGTGTTAAGCTCGTTTTTATAACAAGAGGTCTCCTATTCTTCTCTCCGTGTTGGTTGATACAGGTTCGAGTTTATCTTCTATTGCTCGACTTGTTGCCACACGTTGTCGTCTACACTTGCGTCGTGCGGCGGATCCAGTTTTCATTCTTTATGGCAACGGCCGTACACATGCATGTGCACGAGATGAGGCAGACCTAGTTGTGCGTGTGGGCGATCTCGAGCTTGAGTTGCAGTCGTTGCGGGTGGTGGCGAGTCAAGCTTTTGACCTCATTCTTGGTATGGATTGGTTGCAGCACAATCATGCCAAGTGTGACTTTGAGGCTTTTCCCCCTTGTCTCATACTTCCTTATGTTTCATCCATTCCTCTCACTTCCGTGCCTCTTCGTCCCTCTACTTCTACCTCTGCTTCCATTACTTTTGTTCCCCCATTATTTCCTCTTGTGTTTCCATCTTGTTCTGCTCTTCCCTTTTCCGATCCCTCTGATGATCTTTGTGTTGCAGCTGTTGACCAGCTCATGAAGGAGTATTCTGATCTCTTTGAATTTGACCTATCGTCTGGGGCCAAGATTGCCACACGTCATCCCATTCCAACCGGGGATGCTTGTCCAATCAAGGTTCCTGTTCATCGTCGGTCACCCAAGGAGATCAAGATTTTACGTCCAAACGTCAAGGAGATGTTGGAGAAGGGTGTTATTCGGAAGTCGCGGAGTCCTTGGGCATGTGAACCTCATCTTGTGACAAAGCCTGATGGGAGTATTCGTTTCTGCATCGACTATCGTCCGTTAAATGAAGTGATGATCCCGGACGTGTACCCTCTTCCTCACACTGCTGATCTCTTGGATCGTCTGGGGCGAAGTCGTTGGTTCACCAAGCTAGATCTTGCTTCTAGGTATTGGCAAGTACCGATGGCTGAAGACGATATTCCTAAGACTGCTTTTCGTACACCATTTGGTTTGTACGAGTTTTTGGTGATGCCGTTTGGTTTGAACAATGCTCCAGCAACTTTTCAGCGAATGATGGACGAGGTTCTTTGCGATATGCCAGAGGTGACGGCTGACTTCATTGATGATGTCTTGATCCACTCGGAGGGGACGTGGGAGGAGCATGTTCGTGATGTTTGTAAAGTGTTGGATCGGCTACGCGACGTTGGTTTAAAGCTGAAGCGGTCGAAGTGCGTGTTTGGGTCCAAGGACACAACTTATCTTGGGTACCGTATTTCTCGTGAGGGTTTGCAAGTTGATCCTGACAAACTTGTGGCTGTTCTAAAGTTCCCTACTCCAAAGTGTGTGAATGATGTGCAGCGCTTTTTGGGTAAGGTGCAGTATCTCGGTCGTTTTGTGGATCATCTTTCCGATCACACTTTACCATTGCGAGCGTTGCTGAAGTCATCAACGTCATCTTTCATCTGGTCTCCCGATTGTGAGCGGGCGTTCGTGAATCTCAAAGAGCTATTGACGACTCCTCCGGTTTTGGCATATCCTGACTATACTCGACCTTTTATTTTGCGCGTGGATGCTTCTGACATTGGTCTTGGAGGTGTGTTGATGCAAGAGAGCTCGAGTGTGCCTGGTCAGCGCCATCCTATTGCATACATAAGCCATACATTACAACCAGCGAAGATGAACTACTCCACGACGGAGAAGGAGTGTTTAGCAGCAGTCTGGGGTTTCGAGAAACTTCATGCCTATCTACATGGTTCTCGGATGTTACTTGAAGGTGACCATGCTGCTGTTACTTCATTATTGAAGCGGAAGAACCTGGTTGGTCGTACGGCTCGATGGGCTTTGAAGCTTCAGATATATGATTTCGATGTTGTTCATCGCCCAGGGAGTTCTATGGCTGATGCTGATGCCCTTTCTCGAGCTCCTCTTCCTTCTCCACTCACTTCTCATGTTTCTGACGAACCTGTTGTTCCAGCATCTGTGGATTTTCTAGATGAGGATTCTGTGCCGTCGACGGTTGCTGTCCTTGACGTTCAGTGTCCACAGGGCGTAGAGCAAGATCTACCTTCTCTGGATGAGGTTCGCGAGGCTCAAAAGATTGAGCTATGGATTCGAAGGCTTCGAGATGGGTTTGAGAATCCTGCATCACTTGCTGATGACTTGCCTTTTCGGCATTTACATTCTCAATATCGCCTTGAAGATGGCCTTCTTTATTTTGTGGGGACGGATCCTGATGCTCATTT